ACTCACTGTCTCACTCACTCACTGACTCTCACTCTCTCACTCTCACTCACTCACTGACTCACTCACTGTCTCACTCTCACTCTCACTGTCTCACTCACTCACTGTCTCACTCACTCACTGACTTACTCTCACTCACTCACTGACTCTCACTCACAAAAAAAAATAAACAGAAAAGCTATTTATTAGCAGCCTAGACTTTGGTGATGTTTCTATAAAGAACATTTGTTGGTTATTGTTTTTGCCTTTATTGGCGGGTGGCTGGGTGAGGGAAGCAGCAATGCCACAGCTGTTTAAGGATGGATTGTGATGATGTGCAAAGCTGGGTCCTCATACCTGGCAGATTTTTAAATAATTCTTTGATTTCACCTTTTATCCAACATTATTGCCTTTTGCCACCCCTAGTACAAAACTTTGGTGGTTTAGTAGAGCCCCTCGAGGAACAGAGAACTCCCAGCTCTAGGGTTTTTTTTGCCTTTTAATCCCATGGCTCTTAAAAACCGCTTTCCATCTCTTACTAAAATCTTCTCCAGGAAAGCAGCAGCCCTTTTGGCTCTTCTGGAGGTTAGGATACGTGATCCTAATCAGTTTCCTTAAGTGCTAGTTCTTTTTCATGTGCGTTGTTCAGCTTCATCTGCTGTCCACCCTATTTCCAGGTTTACCACAATTACGTGCTGCTCTTTAAAGTGCTGCTTTTATTTCATTTTGTTGTCATTGCTGTGTATGTGCGGATTCTTTTCAGAGTCAAGTTTTAATTTTAACCATTTAAGTTAAACTCTTTTGTTTTTTAATCGTTTTATTAGGGGCTCATACAACTCTTATCACAATCCATACATACATCAGTTGTGTAAAGCACATTTGTACATTCATTGCCCTTAAGTTGAGCTCTATCAGCTTTTTTTCCTTCTTTCAAATATATTTTGCTAGTTGTGCCTTTTTTAAAAAGTGAGGTTGAAAGATGGGGCGGGACACTGAAAGGTGAAATAGGACAAACTCATTGATTCTAAAGATCGGCCTTGTGGGTTTATTTGACTTAGATGAAAGTGAAGAGGATGAAGATGACTTGTTGCAAAGGACTGGGAATTTCATATCAACATCAACTTCTCTTCCAAAAGGAATTTTGAAGGTGAGAGTCAGTGAAGTTGGAGCCTACCCAGCTACTTGCTTCTGAAATTTAGTTTGGTTCCCAGTTACAGATTCTTACCAGTGGGATGGAATAACACTGACTGCCATTTGTCTTCCTAAATATGTCCTCGTTTGTGGGTTTTTCCCTCTCTTGTGACAGTGTTGAGGAGGTTGATGTGCCCAGGAATCTTCTGGGATCCTATTTGATTTCTCCCTCTGCATTTCTTGTCCATTCGCAGCACCAGCTTCATGTCACCTGATGTACTGCAGTAGCTTTGGGGCTTGGTTTCCTCATTTCCACCTTATTTCTCCCCACACCATTCTTTATATAGTAACCAGAGGATTCTTTAAAAAATGAAGCATCAGGTTATCCCACTTTCATTTCTCTTAGAAAACTTTAGGGTTCTTTCCAATAACCTGTACTTACTCCTTCACTTCCTGATTTCTGCCCATATCTTCAATCTCATCTCAGACCCCCTTCCTCCCTTATTTCAGTACGTAAGGTTCTCAGGCCTTCCTTCTGATTCTTGAACAAGCCAAGTTCTTTTCTGTCTCAGCCTTTGTGCTTGCTGTCCCTCTCCTGTCTTCCTAAATATTGCTTAGGGCTGGCTTGTTCTCCTCTTTCAGCACAGACAGCTGTAAGAAACGCCTGGCCTGGCAATAGCTACATACGAAGTCATAGTTGTTCTGGCTTGTTCATTGTGGTGATCAATTCACCTGATATGGTACTTCCCTTAAACGTTTTTTGAATGAACAAGTCTCTCTGTGACAGGTATTTGTCCCCATTATAAATAGATGACATATGCATTTATGTGGGGGTGGGAACCTTCCTTTTAAGTTATCAGGAGATAGTAAATCCATTTCTCTCCACTTTTTGAAGACAGGTCATTCAGTTCCATTAGGGTGAATTCACCTTCATTAAACTATAAAATTTTCACTTCATTGGCAAAATATAAAGGGGCTTCAAAATATGATT